CCTAGTAAAAATTCTATTATTCTTAAAATTTCAGTTTACTGAAATTACTATATTGTTCATATATCCTGTGACCATGCTAAACATGATGGTAGATTCTTTTTATAGAGATAAACATGTTTTCTGTGAGTGAAGACAGTTCTTCCTTTCCTATCTGTGGATCTCCATTTACTTATTTTTCTCTTATCACACTGGTAGACCCTCCAGCACAATGCTGAAATCCTTGCCTTTCCTGATCACAGGGGGAAAGTGTTCGTTCTTTCATGATTAGTAGTTTGGTGTTAACTGTAGGTTTTTCCAGATGTAACTTTACCCTTTTTATTCCTAGTTTGTTGAGATTTTTATCATGAACGGATACTGGATTTTGTCTGCTTTCTCTGTACCTACTGAGATAATCATATATAGTTTCTGTTTTTGCCTATTGATAGTGATTTCCAAATGTTAAAACAATCTTACATGTTGTTATGAACCCTAGTCGGGTTCTGCTTTTCAGGTATTGTCCTTTATGTGTGTGTGTGTCTAGATTTAATTTGTGTGGGCTGTATGTCTAGATTTACTTTGTACTTTTTCAAAGATCTTTGTGTCTATGCATATGTGGAGTGCTGGATTATATGTTTTTTTCCTTCTTATTCCTTTGTCTGGTTTTGTTATCAGGGTATTTTAGCCTCCTAAATGAATGGGGTACTCCTGCTCTTCTCTTGTCTGGGAGAGTTTGTGATACAATTGGTATTATTTCTTCCTGTGAAGAAATAATTTCTCTCAACTGTGAAGCCAACAGGCCTTGTAGATTTTTATGGGAAAGTTACATTTTTTACCAATTGCTATTTGTTTACCTTTGTCTCAGCTTCTCTTTCTTCTTTTTCTCTTTCCTTCTTTTGGATTGAGTAAAGCTTGGTAATTCATAAAGATTATACATTTCACTAAAATCTCCAAAATTTTTAGCAAAAAGCTAAATAGCAGGCTGCACTTTTCAACTTCTTTATTTCTCTTAGGTAACTTTCTTATTCTGCTTGTCAACTCTTTTGGGTTTTATTTATTTATTTACGATTGATTAGACATGCCAGAAGATTAGCTTTCACTCGGTTTACCAAAGAATCAGTTCTAAAATTTATTTTTTAATTTTATGAATTACTTTTTTAATTTTAAAATGTATTAATATCTCCCTGATTTCCTAAAAAAGGGGTATGTACAGCGGTTAACAGCATGAACTCTGGAGCCAGGCTTTCTGTTTCCAATCCTGGCTCCCCACTAAGGAGCGGCAGGACTCCTAGCAAGTTAAACTTTCACACCGGGTCAGGCAGGGGTAGAACAAGTAGACTAAGGTGGAGAACTAGGGACTCTTCCGTAGAGGGAGAGCTCCGGTGACCACACCTGGGGGAGAAATCCTATACTGGCAAATATTAATAAGGATATAAAACAATGGTACTCTATTAGGAAATAAAAAATAAAATGAAAAATAAACTTTTATGCCTAGATCTTTCACCTGAAAAATGGGAATAATGATAGAATATACCTTTAAGGACTTTTGTGAGGGTTAAGTGAATGAATGTGGATTGCTTAAAGCCATACTGCACACACAAAGTGTAATACACCATTTGCTTTTTTTTTAAATTATTTTGTGTTGTTATTTAATTTCTTAAGCTGGATTTTCAGTTCATGTGTTTTTCAATCTTGATTACTTAATAATACAGACATATAAAACCAGAAACTTTTTCTATACAATTTTGGTACATTTTCCTATTTATTCTCTCATTGTTTTCACTTTGTAATTTTACTTTTGTTTTTTCTTTCTGTACAGCTAAAGCATTAAACGATTCTGATATAATTAGATAATCTATCAAAGGCTAGAATTTTCTACTATCATTGTGTTTATTTTTTTTTTTTATAATTTTATTTTATTTTTTATTTTTTAATATTTATTTATTTATTGAAGCACCGGGTACAGTCAGAAGCGCGGGAGGGTGAGAGAATTCACCAGAGCCAGAGCAGGGAGCAGAGCAGGCAGAAGGACCGAAGCACATTGCTGAGGGGAGCAGCGGGCGGCAGGAGAGGTCTGCGCGCCATGTGGGACCCTCCTCTGGTGGCCGGGGAGCAGCCGGGGATCAAACCGGTGCTGCAGAGGCCGCGGGCAGCTTCGCAACCCAGCGCTCAACCGCTGCGCCACTGGGGAGGCCCCTATCATTGTGTTTAATCAGGTTCTATCTGCATCTCTAAATCTTTTCTTTGTACATTTGATAAACTATTAACTGGCTCATAAAAGCTGTATGTTCAATGTTCACTTACCAATATCTAATTTTCTGACCTATTTGCCCTGAACTGTGTTTTATTTGCAGTTACCTTTGCCCTGCTTTGTGATATCAGTCATTCATTTTTATTACCTCCTTTAGGTTTATATCAAAATAGCATTGTTGGTATCCCGGTAGAACAACAGATTGGTATGCATCCTCCATGAGGGTTTATAACTTAAAATTGCTTTGACTCCAGGTAGCCCTTTCAACCATTCTCCCTGAAGGTGCATGCCTAATTTGATTTTTGGTGGGAGCGGGAGGGAACTCTGGGGCATTTTTATCCATTAATTTAATCACTGGTGTTATTGACTATATATAATATTTTTATATCACACATTTAATATGTAGCTCATATATTGCGATGCATATTTTATATAACATACACATAGTTTATGTATTTTACAATATATTCAAAAGCAGCATAAAACCACAACAAACACCCCCAACTTTCAGCTGGAGCAGGCCTAGGCATTTATCACACAGACTTAGATGGTTTAAAAGGGGTAGAGAAAAGATGAGGCACTCAGGGATTTTGGAAGAACACATTACATTTTTCCATAGTTACCTCAAACATATAACTAGTTAGGTAGCCAGCACACGTGCCTTTCCCGTCCTCTGGCATTCAGCACATACATGAAAAAGTTGAGATGTCTATGATATTTGTCTTTTTAAATAATTTTTTCCCTATTCTTGGATACTTATGTAACTTTAAAAGTTTACTTGTAGGAAAATAATAAAAGAAAAAAAGGACGAATTGCCTCACGTGGGTTTCTTTGCTTAAAATAGGGTGAATTTAATTTGAAGATGCCTTTCCTCATCAGGGAAAAAATTCCTTTTATATGTTAAACATATTTATATACTTAATGTTATACTTTATATACCTTTATACTTTTAAGAATACATTTTGTACTTAACATTACTTCTTTTGCATTTTTCTAGTTTCTCCTTTAGAAACATCAATGAATTATACCTTCACTCTCCATTCTCTAGTCCCTGTAAATATAATCTTTTGCACACTTTCACCTTTTCATCTTTAACAGGTGTTGGTCAACGACAGTGCCCAGCCTTGCTTCTGCATGGTTGTGAGTGAAGAATGATTTGAGCATTTTGCAAAGCACCCCTTAAAAAGGGTTGTAAAACAACCAATGAGAACCACCAAAGAATGTGCCATAGAGACAGGCTGGTCTAGAAAGCCCAAACCATTGCCCTCTGGCCTGGTGGGAAAGCCTGCCAACCTCTGATCTGTGTTCTTAGAGCATGTCAGGTTTATTCTCCACAGCTCAGCTTCCGCTTTTTCATCGCCCATTTTTGTCATTAATTTCTCCACCAGTTCCTTCTGTGAACAACCTAATTTTGACCTTTAAGTCTTCTTCCTTTTTTAAAACTATGTTGATGATTGGTTTTTAATTCTGTTTACTGGCTTACAACACTATATATGTTTTGGGGGTACAGGTTCACACCTGTACATCTATGTACAGGTTCACACCTGCAAATATATGTCATCTCAGCAGAAGTAATGCGGGTGCAACTGTATTGTAAGTTTCAGGGATGCAGCACCATAGTCAACCTGTATACCCTACACTATGTCCTACTCCACCACCTTACGATGAACCCCCTTTTATATTTTTTTCAGCCAGACTGGCTATTGTTTCATCTTGGCCTCTCCTTATTTAACAGTCTTTATTCCAGATTCTCAGCACATTTATTCTCCTGAATTCTCATGGATGTTTATGCCTGTACCCCCGTGCTTTCTCATAGGCTCCATGACGGCGGTGCTCCCTGGTGTGCACACTGGCACCTGGTGAGATCGGCAGGGGGCGCCTACCAGGTGACAGATTCAGTGTTTGGCAACCAAGTTCACAGATTTCCCTGTTTCTCCTCTAATGACCAACGTGACATCAAATCCCTGACTCTCATGCACTGCTCCGGCAAGGTTAGGTACACAGCTCACTTTCATCCGCTTCTCAGCAGCTGCCTGAAGGTCCCCTGGAGTAGGGATAAGCCAACTACTAGTAAAAGCATAAGAGTGACTTTTGCATTTCTGAAGGATCAAAAAAGCAAACAACTAAGAAGAATACCTGAGAGAAACACTTGTGGCACACAAAGCCTAAAACATTTCCTAAATGGTCTTCTATAGAGAAAACTGCAACACTGCCTTAGAGGCCCTCTTTCCTTACCCTGCCTAGCTCTCGGAACTGATGGGAGTGCTTTAAACCTACACGCCCTGCCTCCAGCATCCTTCTCACTTGAATGCCTGCTTATGGGGTATATTCACTAGTGCTTTATCTCAGAAGCAAACAACCTACCCCAATTCTTGACCACTTATATTTTGCATGTTGCTGTCTCCAAATAGAGGCAGAAAGATACATGGGGGTGGCTGTGGATGCAGGGGGTGGTTGTTATGGAACGTAGGAGGCAGGATGATGGAAAAAGGGGATCTCACAGATTGGTACCTATGAGTTGCAGGGAGGGCTGTCTTATTTCCAGTTTCCATGAGTGCTGGGTATCTGTGTTCAGGGTTAGCAGTGGGGATACAATGTCTTCCCATTTCCTACTCCTGTTTTTTGTTTTTGTTTTCTTGTGGGGTTTTTTTGGTAAAAAGGATTCCATTACAAAAAAAAAAAAGTTACAAGATCACTGAGTGAAGGTTTAAATGCAGGTTAACATGACAATCTATTAATATATTAAGCCCAAAAGCATAATCATTAATGTTACCTGTAATCATGCACAATTTTCCTTGCACTCTCCAGTTGTTCGTTGGTTAACAGGATATTCCTGGGATCCGTTACGGTGAAGAAGTGATTGGCTCGTCCAACAAAAGTGCTTTGATCCCATCGAGGTTCCCTGATGTTAATATTTAGTGGAAGTTCCCCAGACATCGTTCTGGACTAAGGAGGGTAAAAAAGACAAGCATGGTTAAGACTTACAATGTTAGGTATAACTTTATAATTGAGAAACTTTATAATTGTTCTAATCTTCAAGTACAGTATATGTACATTCCTATTTACAAAAGTAATTTTGCTATAATTAACAGAAAGACAATCTAAATCCAAAGCTAACTTTGTTCATAAATCTCAATAGATCTTAACCAAATTTCAGTAATTTCCCACATTTTCCTCCTCATTAGTATACAGTTTTTCACCATTTCTTATTTTTAGACACCTAGAAATAGTCTAGGGGAAAAAAAGCAGATAGAAGAAGTTAAAAATAACAGCTAAAATAGGGTCTAAAGTTTGAAACACTTTTTCTGGGTGAAACAAGCAATGTTAAATTCCTACTGCCTGCTGCTCTGCATCTATCATCTCTACCAGTACTAGTGACTAGTTGTGCAAAAAAAAGGGCTTCAATGCTAAAAATTGTACACTTAAAAAAAGATTCAGGTTCATTCATCCTTGTTCAGTATGTAAGCTACCAAGCAAAAATGAAAAATCACGTTCTTCAATCTAATAGGGACACAATGGGGAAACGCAGTCTGACAGTCCCGTGTACAGGAATAACACTGCACCATATAATTTTCCTCATAAAATATCCAGTTTCTGGCTTCAAACCATTACTTTTCTCTAAAAGTAACTAATTTCTTTCTCTGCATAAGACATTCTTATTTTTAGAACTGCATTGTGCTGTTGGAACACATGCTTATTGTGGCATTCTGAATAATATCAGCTTATTGTAGAAAATAAAGAAAGAAACAAAATCTCCTATAATTTAGCCACACTGAAGTAATCATTATTAATGTTTTGGTACAGTTTCTTGCAGACATTTTCTATACACATATTATCATATAATTAAAAAAATAAAGCTGCTATCATACTCTAGATTTTAACGTCCTGGTTTTTTTTTTGTATTATTTTAGGAGCATTCCTGGGGTACTAAATATTCATTTGGGGTACACAGCAACCCCTTTCAGTTGATAAAGCATGCTGTACCTTGTCTAGAAGCTGGGGATGCCCTCAGACCAGAGCTCTCCGTATATTAGTAGAAGGATGGATGTAAACACTATGAAGGCTTCTAACAGTCAATTCCTCCTCCATTTCCCTTTCCTGCATTTCTTTTTTTTTAAGATTTATTTATTCATTTACACAAGATCCAGGGGATAGGCCAGATGTGCAGGAGGGTGAGAGGATTCACCAGAGTCAGAGCAGGGAACAGAACAGGCAGACTGATGAAATACACTGAGGGGAGCAGCGGGCAAGGCAGGAGAGGTCTGCCACACCATGTGGGACCCTCGCCAGCCAGCCGGGATCGAACCGGTGTTGCAGAGGCTGCGGAAGCATCACAGCGCGGTGCTCAACTGCCTGCGCCACCAGGGGAGGCCCACCTTTCCTGCATTTCTAATAGCAGCTCTAACAGTAGTGTTCTTTCCTAGGAGATTTTTTTTTTTAAGATTTATTTATTTATACAAGAACTGTGGTACAGTCCAGAGGCGAGGGAGGGTAAGGGGATTCACCAGAGACAGAATAGGGAGCAGAATAGGCAGACGGACCAAAAACACTGCTGAGGGGAGCAGCGGGCGAGACAGGAGAGGACTGCCGTGCCATGTAGGCATCTCCCTGACCGGCCGGGAATTGAACCCGCGCTGCAGAGGCTGCGGACAGCTTCACGGCGCTGCACTCAACCTGCTGTGCCACCGGGGATGCCCCCAGGAGATTTTTTTCACTGTTATTTTTTGGTGCGTCACATGTTCTTGGGTGTGTTAAGCTGTCAGGTGAAGATGTGAGGCACTCTTGTCATTTGTACTTTATCAGAATCTCAAATGAATACGGAGCATGGCCCACTGCATCAAAATGGGGCAGGTGGGGCCTCCCCGGTGGCGCAGCGGTTGAGCGCTGGGTTGCGAAGCTGCCCGCAGCCTCTGCGGCGCCGGTTCGATCCCCGGCTGCTCTCCGGCCACTGGAGGAGGGTCCCACATGGCGCGCAGACCTCTCCTGCCGCCCGCTGCTCCCCTCAGCAGTGTACTTCGGTCCTTCTGCCTGCTCTGCTCCCTGCTCTGGCTCTGGTGAATTCTCTCACCCTCCCATTCTTCTGACTGTACCCAGTGCATGTATAAGCAAAACAAACAAACAAATAAATAAATAAATAAAACATGCCTCTATAAAAAAAAAAAAAAATTAAAAAAAAAAAATGAGGCAGGTGAAGGCACAGGTGTGGGCACAGAAAACGCAACTGCCGGCTCCAGGGGCATCCAGCAGAGCGTGGCGGTGCTGCAGGCCAGGCCAGTGCTGCACGGAAGTGGAGGGAAGAGCTGACGTCCCAGAGCTTTTGCAGATGGAGTGAACAGGATTTCCTGACAGCTTGGATGTGGGGTGTGAGAGAAAGAAAAAGCACAACTCCAAAAGGGTTGTCTGGAAGAAGGGCAAGTCCAAGGAGAAAACAGCAAGTTCAGGTGTGAGATGCCTAAGAGACATTCAACGGAGACACCTGACAGTGGATACATGCTGGAGTCGGGAGCTGAGGGGACAGGGTGAATCTGGACAAAAATTTGATACCTTGAACAGAAGTTGGGAAGAGGCCCGAGGACGGCTATGTTCAGAGGTCAGAACAGACTAAGTTACAGCAAAGGAGGTGGAGAGGGGAACCAGTGGGGGGAATGCAGGGGGGTGATGTCCCGGAAGAAAGGAGAGTGAGTGTACCGGTGTTCCCGGGGGCCAGAGGAAGACCCCATCGGCTGGTGGTCACTTCCAATTAGGAGGGGGATTTTAATCCATGGGGCCAGTCTAGGGAGGGGATTACTGTAAAGATAATTGCTTTTACAAGTCCTAAAAAGTCTAAGCAACAGTGTACAGCAGAGTAAATAAATGTTCCTTCCTCTGGACTGCTTATTCCCACAAAGCCACTAGCATAGACTCATGGGTTCTCACCAAAGGACCATATCGAAACCACCTGGAGAATGCCTAGAGATTTGGATCCAGTAGGTAGGTCCAGGATAAGCTCAGGCCTGTCAGGATAAGCTTCAGGTGCTCTGGTCACAACTCCATTTCCCTGGGCACCAGGCTCTGCTTCTACATGAACTTGGGAGTCATTTCCTTCCCTGTAGCTTTCTCTGAACCGTCCCTCAGGCTTGCGTAACCTATGATGGTCTCTCATGATATCAGATACCAATCTGTCTCATAAAAAAATGGAGTGCCAAATCATCCTTCTTCTCTTTGAAGTATAATTCTCTATCACTGTTTTGCCCTTGCACTTACCGTACATAATAAAAAAAATTAAAATGTAGTTTTCACAGGATTCTAGTTCTTAATAAGAAACTATTTCCTACACATTTAGGTCAAGTTGTTGCAAACATGATCTCATTTTAAATAGGGTTACTTTTACTTTATAAATAAAAATGTTCTAATTGCACAAGAGCCTAGGATTTTAAAAATGATCTACCCAAACATGCTAATCAGACAGATAAGGAAAGCGAGGCCCAGCAGGGGGAGTCACTCACCCAGGTTGCATGATGGGTGCTAGTGGTAGAAGATTCTACCCAAAGTATAATTGGATTCCTGGGCATTGGTCTGTCAGCTCATTTTCTCTACTATTCTCTTAGCTATTTTTTTTTCCCCAAAGGGTATCAAGCAATATTTGTACAGAACTGGTATCTTTGAGGATGATTTTTCTTTCCTTTAAATGAAAATGTGTTTCTGATGCTACAAAGCTCTGCACTGACATAGCCCTATGGTGACTGTAGCATGGATGGGCAAGAAGAACACTGTGGGGCCTCATAAGGTCTCTTCCTTAACAGGCAAGGACAAAGGAGAGTGACACGGAGAGGAACCCCAACAATTTTGGAGTTTCTATTACATACAGGGTATTGGGCTAGATGATTGCCAAAGAGTGCATGTGCCCACTCTGTGTCAGTGGCAGGATATTTCTATCTCAGTTCTCACAACCATGGGCTTTGCTTATGCAGTTGGCCCTTGAATGACACAAGTATGGATTGCCTGGGTCCATTTACATGAGGACTTTTTCCTTTCTGCAGGTTCTGCATTCAGAGTGTCAATCAACTGTGGATTTCATGTGGTTAAATTGTGATGTAGAACAGGCAGATACAGAGGGTCCACTAAGGGATTTGACCATCTGTAGATGTAGGCATGGGAGGAGGTATGTGTACTAAAACCAACCCCCTGGGATACCAAGGACACCTGTAAATGATTTAAAGGATTTTCTACTGTGTGGGGCTAGGCACCTCTACTCCCATTGTTCAAGGGTCAACTTGACTATGTGTGTTTTATAGGAGAGGTAAGTATGATCCCGGGACGGCACAGCCACCCCTTGTCTACCCGGCAGAGAAGAAGCAGGTGAGGACTCCAGGCCAAGTCTTCCAAAGCCACAACACTGTCTGCTCATCTTCATCAAAGTTGTATGGATTGCGGAAGCCAGAATGGCTCCCCATAGATGTCCACATCCCAATCCCTATGAATATGTTACCTTACTTTGTTGAGGGGATTAGTTAAGAATCCTGAGACTGGAAACTACCCTGGATTATTTGGGTGAACCTGATGAAATAGCAAGGGTTCCTGTAAGAGAAAGGGAAAGAATAGGGGAGAAGGTGGACGTGAGGACAAGCAGAGGCTGGAGTGTTGCAGGGCTACCAGCTACAGAATGTGAGCAGCCTCTGGCAGCTGGAACAAGCAAGAAAACAGATTCTCCCTGGGAGCCTCACGGAACAACACAGGCTCATTTTTGACTTCCGACCCAGAGAGGCATAAGATAATATATTGTCTTAAGCTAAAAAATCTGCAGTAATTTGTTACAGTTGGAATAAGAAATGAATACAGTGCTTCTTCCCAACTTAAAAAGGATTTGGAAAAGCATAACATACTGGTATAAGAAATACCAACGAACCTGTCCCCACCTCCACAAGTTTCAAAAACCTAGGCAGACACTGAAGTTGATATTAACATTCTTACAAAGACAACAATCACAAACTAGATAAAATTTTAATTATCCGCTATGATTTCCATGTTTCAATTAGACAAGCATTCTTCCTGCATGAACCTTCAAGGACAGGAATAGTTTTTATTCTTTCCACTCCAAGCAAATCAAGCAGCCTCTATAATTAAGAGTCCTACGTAAAACAAAATAAAAACCAGAAAACCTTATTTCCTATTCCACACTGAAAAACCGCTCTCCCTCTCTGCTGTGACTGTTCTCCCTCCTTATGACTGAGTTGTGGGCCTGGGACCAGCTCTTGGCTCATGAGGGCCAAGCTGTGGAGGGCCATGTGCTGAAGGGGGAACTGGAGCACAAACCCAAGAGCCCTTTAATTAGTGCCCCAGACTGGATCCGGCTCGTGACCTGGCAGTGTACCCTGGGAACAAAAGTACTCCCATGGCCTTTACCGACATGTGGGGTCACTGGGGCACATCCCCATATGGTCCTCCAGGATGCTTGGCTGGGCTACAGTATCCCGGGCACCCACTTAATGGTGGGCAGCCTTGGGCAGGAGGGTCTGTGCTCTGGGGGTTTCTACCTTGTACTCTTTTTTTTTTAAGATTTATTTATTTATTTATACAAGCACTGGGTACAGTCAGAAGCGCGGGAGGGTGAGATAATTCACCAGAGCCAGAGCGGGGAGCAGAACAGGCAGATTGACCGAAATACACTGCTGAGGGGAGCAGCGGGTGGCAGGAGAGGTCTGTGCACCATGTGGGACCCTTGCCGGTGGCCGGGGATTGAAGTGGCGCTGCAGAAGCTGCGGCAGCTACGCAGCCCAGCGCTCAACCACTGTGCCACCAGGGGAGGCCCCTCTACCTTGTACTCTTGACAGTGCCCATCAATCAGCTGTGGGGTAAGAACAGCCATGGACACCTTTGTGGGGAGAAAGCTAAGTCCCTGGTTTGTGGGAAGGGAAGAAATAAATGGATTTGGTTTCCCAGAAGTCTAGTTTAGACACAAAGCACACAGCTATCCTGTGGCTTGTGGTCCCTGAAACTTGAGCTGCCTCCCAACAATTCCTACCCAAGATTAAAATTGGTAAAAGTTCAGATGCCTTTGTAGAGGGATGTTCTTAAGCACCGTTGACCACACAGTTCTGACCATATTGCATGATAGTGGCTGGTGACAGTTTTACAACAGCGCTTCCCTACTAGAAATGTCTGCAGAGTGTGTTGTACAGCCGTAGGAGGATGCTGGGGCAGCATACTGATCATGAAGCCTTGAGAGTTCAAAAGAAAGGTTCTGAGAACAAGATATATATATCTCCCAATTGCATATGTGGGAAGCGTAAGGAAAAAAGTCATGCCTCAGAGACAGGCTGCACAGGATGCCAAATAATGTGTGAGTTTATCAGCTTTGGCTGAGTGGAAGCAAGTTAAAGGTGCCACCAAGAGAAGTGGGACACATCTGTGGGGAGGATATTCTCTTTGCCATGTCTACCTAAGGCTTTGATAATTACATGGAACTGCTGAAATATCTTCCGAAATTCAGAAAGACTATGCAATGAGACAGGAATGGTGGACCATCACAGTTACAGAAGGAGTAGGTAAAAAGCTCCCCAGAAGAAAGTTAGTAAGCAGAGACCAGCTAGTTTACTGTCACTGGTCAACAGAAAATGGTATGGTTTGCATAATGTCCTCTTGGCAGATTTCTGATATTCAACAAATTCAGTTTTCAAGACCTGAAGAAATGATGGCATGGAGAATAGAGAAAGAGGCTATAGGATTCTGAAACAGACATTAGAATGAAATGTCTAGAGAAATGAGTCCTTTAGTTTTTAAATAGCTGTAATGTAGCTTCATGAAGCTTGACAAATTGAAGTGTTAATTCTGACTTCCGAATATATTCCATGAATGACTGAAACAAAAATATTGATTTTAAAGGTATTTAAAATACCTTTAAAATATTTTTTGGATCCAAGACATGTATACTACAAGACAGACATACTATAAGATAGACATGTTATAAGACACATTACATTTAAACTGCTGAAATCCAATGACAAAAGAGAATATTAAAAATATTGAGAGAAAGAAGAGTAACCTGTAAGGGAATATCTATTAGACTGTCCATGGACTTTTCAGTAGAAGTCTTACAGTCAAGAAGAAAATGGCAAGGTTATTTAATGTAATCAAAGAAAGCAACTTCCAGCCTAAAATACTTTATCCTACAAGATTATCAGCCAAGACAAAAGGAAGGGTAAGAAACTTCATTGAAAAGTGAAAATTAGTGCCTCCCTGGTGGCACAAGGGGTTAAGCACTGCACTATGAAGCAATCTGCAGCCTCTGCGGCATGAGTTTGATCCCTGGCTGGCCAGGGAGATTCCCATATGGCGAGGCAGACCTCTCCTGTCTTGCTCGCTGCTCCCTGCAGCAGTGTACTTTGGTCAATCCGCCTGCTCTGTTTCCCACTCTGTCTCTGCTGGATCCTCTCACCCCCACTGTATCTCTGGCCTGTGCCCCAGCTTGCATGCATAAATAAATAAATCTTAAAAAAAAAAGAAAAGTGAAAATTAAAAGAATTTATTAGCACCAAGCCCAAGGTAAAAGAAGTATAAAAGGACTAATATAAAGCAGTAGTAAAAATAACAAAAGAATCTATAGGTAACAAATATCTAAATTATACAATGTAGAAGAGGAGGAGGAGAGTTAAAATGTGGTCCATCAGAATGAGTTTGATATCAGACCATCTAATGGGCCACAAAAATAGTACATCATATACTCACCTCAGCAGACCCTTCAAACAAAAATCAGAGTAACACATAAAACAATGGCAAGGAACCTAAACAAAACATAAAAGGAATATGTCAAAATAAAAAATACAAAGTAAAAAAAAAAAGGGCAATGAGCTTGTATGCCTCAATAATCACCTTAAATGCAAATAAACTGAATTCACTAGATTGGTTGAAGTCATTTCAAAACAAAGTCCAACCTTCTGTTATAATGTTTGGAAATTAATCTTATCAAAGATAAGCACACTTGCAGTTAAATGTTGTCATCAAAAAAGTTAGGAACAGCTATATTTACATCACATAAAGTATTTTCTTTCCTTTTTTTAAAAAAAGATTTATTTATGTATTTACACAAGCACTGGGTACTGTCAGAAGCGCGGGAGGGTGAGAGAATTCACCAGAGCCAGAGCAGGGAACAGAACAGGCAGACTTAACGAAATACACGCTGAGGGGAGCAGCGGGTGCGGCAGGAAAGGTCTGTGCACCATGTGGGACCCTCGCCAGCGGCCGGGGATCGAGCTGGCGCTGCAGAGGTTGCAGGCAGCTTTGCAGCCCAGCGCTCAACCCCTGCGCCACCAAGGGAGGCCCGAAATAGATTTGCAATTTATAAAAGGCAATAAAAGATTGAGATGGACATTACACTATTATTAAGGACCAACTACAACAAGAAGCTATAAACCACCTTAATGAAGTGCCTACACTCACAAGACAATTATTAATAAAACTAAAGAAAGATATTTACCAAAAAACCCCAATAAGACTAGGGAATTTTAACACTCCATTAATAAGTATAGACAGTTCAACAAAAACGAGACAAAGCAAGGAAGCAATAGCCTTAAATGAGTAATGAAGCCAAATAGTTTTAACAGACATCTGTACAACACGCCACCCAAAAACTGCTACATGTATTTTCTTTTCAAGTGTACATGGAACATTTTCAAGAATAGACCATATGTTGGGACATAAGTCAACTGTCAATAAAACTATGAAGACTGAAATCATATCAAGTACTCTTTCTGATCATACACATTATTTAAAAAAGGAAAAATCATAAATACAAGAAAACTGAACAATATGCTGCCTAATAGTTGTTGAATTAAAGAGGAAATTAAAACCAAAATAAAAAATACCTTGAGGCTAATGAAAATGAGGATATAAGCTATCAGAATTTACAGGGTACAGCAAAAGTGGTCTGGAGAACAATTTTAATGCAATATAAGTCCACATAAAGAAGCAAGAAAAATCCCCAAATAAACTACTCTCACACCCACCTAAAGCAACTTGACAGAGAGGAACAAAAAAAAGTTAGAAGGAAGGAAATGATAAAAATAAGAGTGGAAATAAATGAAATAGTTCGTCAAAAATATCATATAAAGGATCAATGACAGTATGAGTTGGTTCTTTGAGAAAACAAACAAAATTGATAATATCCAGCTAGGCTAACAAATAAAAGAGAAAAGAGCAATAAACAAAATTAGATATGAAAGGAGAAATTACCACAGATGGCTCAGAAATACAGTGATCATAAGAGGTTATGATGAACAACTATGTGCAAATAAATTCAATAACCTTTAAGGACGGACAAATTTCTAGAATAATACAGTTTGCCAAGACTAAATGAGGAGGAAACAGAATTGGACAAACCAATCAGAATCACAGAAACTGAAACAGTAACCAAAGTCTTCCTAAGAACAAAATCCTAGGGCCACAGGACTTCACAAATGAATTCTATCAAACTTTTAATAGAGAACTTCTATCCACCTAGCTTAAATTATTTATAAAAATCCAAGACAAGGGAATGTTTCCAAATATATTTTATGATGTCAACATTACCTTAATACTGAAATTAGATAAAGACAGCACAAGAAAAATATAGACCAATATCCTGAATGAGTACTAATGTGAAAATCGCAATTTGCAGCAACATGAATGGAGCTGGAAGGGATCATGCTCAGCGAAATAAGCCAGAAAGAAAAAGAAAAATACTGGATGGTCTCACTCATAGCAGGAATCTAGAAAACCTAAATAAGGGACCAGGAAAAAGAATAACTATAAGAAAGAAAAAATCAAAATCAACAAGCAACTATAAACCAGAGACACACTATGGGGGGAGGGGAAGGGAGGGATTGGGCTCAAATAAGGTGCAATTGTATGGGGAATATAAAAAAAATAAATCTTAAAAAAATGTGAAAATCTTCAAGAAAATAATAGAAAATTCAACAATACATTGCAAGGAGTATGCATCATAATGAAGAAGAATTTACCCTGGGGTGCAAGGATGGATCACTATGTGTAAATCAATCAATATCACATTATATTAATAAAAGAAAAGTTAAAATCATGATAATATCAACAGATGCAGAAAAAACATTTGATATAATTCAGCACCAGTTATGATAAAAACTCTAAATAAGACAGGAATAGAAGAAACCTACCTCAACATAATAAAGGCCATCTATCACAAACCTACACCCAATGTGATACTTATTGGTGAAAAATTGAAAGTTTCCCCTTTAAGATCAGGAACAAGACAAGAATGCCCACTGTCACCACATCTGTTTAATTTAGGGAGAGAGGTCTTAGCTAGATAAATTAGGCAATGGGAAATAAAATGAGTACAGGCTGGAAAAGAACTGAAACAATCGAGAGAAATATTATCGAGAGAAAATCCTGAAGACTCCATCAAAAAAAGAATTAGAAACAATAAATAAACACAGCTAAGTGGAAAGTTACAAAATCCACATACAATCTGTTGCATATTTAGACAGAAGTTATGAATGGGAAGGAAAAGAAATTTAAGTAAATAATTCCATTTATAATCACTACAAAGAAGAATCAAACACTTAGGAAAGTGTAACTAAGGAGGTGAAGACTTATACAGTGAAAATTATAAGGAATTATTAAAGGATATGGATCATAACAGATGGAAAGATATTCCATGTTAATGGGGGGAGAATCAATATAGTCAAGATGACTATCTACCAAAAGTGATATGCAAATTCAATGCAATTTCTATTAAAATACAAAAATATTTTTCAGAGGAAGTGAATAAAAAATATTATATGTGAACCATAAAAGGCCTCAAATAGCAAAAGAAACCCTGAGAAGAAAAGAAAAACAGAGGCATCATATTATCTGACCTTCAAGTATAATGTACAGTAGCAGTAACTAAAACAATTTGGTATTGGCATAAAAATATTTACAAATCAATGGAACAGAATTTAAAAGCTCAAAAATAAGTTCATTTATATATCAGTATTCATGATAAAGGGGCCATGATCATATCCAGTGGGGAAAGGAGAAAAGGAGAGCCTCTTTAACAAATGGTGCTGGGAAAACTGGACAGCCACATGTAAAGGATGTAGTCAGAACACTCTCTAACTCCGTGCACAACAATTAAGTTCAAAATGGGTTAAAGACAGATATAAAACTTGTAACAATCAAATATATAAAAGAAAACATTGGCAATATGTTTCATGACATGAATAATAAATATGTTTCTGGAAAGTCAATCTATACGGCAAGGGAAATAAAAGCAAAAAAAACAGATGGGGTTGGGATTCCCAGGTGGCGCAGGCAGTTGAGCGCAGCACTGTGAAGCTGTCCACAGCCTCTGCAGTGCCAGTTTGATCCCTGCTGGCTGCGGAGATACCCACATGGCGAGGCAGACCTCTTCTGTCTCACCCGCTGCTCCCCTCAGCAGTGCATTTCAGTAAGTCTGCATGTTCTGTTCCCCGCTCTGTCTCTAGCAGATCCTCTCACCCTCCTGTAAATCTGGCCTGTATCCTGGTTCTTATATAAATAAATAGATCTTAAAAAAAACCAGATGGAGTTATCTCAAATTAAAGCTTTTGCACAATGAAAGAAAATATTAAGTAGATTAAATGACATCCTACTGCGTGGGAGAGAATATTCATACATTATACAACCAACAAAGTGTCAATATCTAAGGCATACTAAAATCATCTTCAATATAATAATAAAAAAGCAACAAATAAATGGACAGTAGATCTGAATATACAGTTCACTAAAGAGGATATCCAGAGGCTAATAGACACATGAAGAAATGCTCATTGTCACTTCCAATAAGAGGGATGCAAGTCAAAGTCACAAGGATCTATCATAACACCTTTGAGAATGACAATCCCCCCAACAAATGTTGCTAGAGAGGATGCAGACCAAGAATACTGTAAACTGGTATAGTCATTTTGGAAAATGATTCAGACCTACCCTAAAAAACAAAAAAATGGAAACACTGTATGCTGCAGCAATCCCAGTCTTGGTCACCTACCAAAAAAACTACCAAACAAAAAATTCCATGTGATACAATGTTTACTTCAGTGCTCTTTACAATAGGTAGGACATGGATACAACGATGATGTCCACTGATAGAAGATTGGATTAGGAAGTTTCAGTATAGCCACACAATGGAATACTATGAACCATAAGAAAAGATGAAATGTTGGCATTTACAGCAAAATGGGAGGAGTGCGAGGGAATTACATGTAATACGGCAAGTCAGAATGACAAAGACAAATACAAAATCTTTACACAGCAGACAATCTGATGAAGCAAAACTTATGGAAACTAGCCTACACTAACAAAAGAAGTGAGGTATCTGAGGTGGGGGGAAGAAATGGTGAAAGGGATGTTAGGGACAGTAACGCAGAAAATAAAAACTATTCACTAGAGAAAAATGCTTTGGGTTTTTTTTTTTTTTTTTGTATGAGAAAAGAAGTGGGATTATAGAAACATTTTTTTATGGTTGACTGATACCACTTAGGTTAGGAAGCAATGTGAAGGCTTTATCACTTAAAAAATGCAATCATTTAAGCTGAACTATCTGGGACCATTAATTATTACAGCATTAGACTGCATTTAAATGAGTCATTCCTACAGAGATTATTTTACATATTATATATATTAATAAACTGCTCAACGAGGAAAAAAAGAATCTCTTAGTGAGGAAAAAACTTAAAATTCAACCTCTTGGGTAAGGTTTTGTGTAAAAAGAGTCTCATGGAGAGTCATCAGAATAAACTTCTCTAATTCTTTTATTCATTTATTCTTTTAATGAGTTCTTTTAATTCATTGAATTCTTTTATTCAAACAAAATTACTTTACAATTAAATAACCACTGATGGCTTCTCCTGTTCCAAACATTGGCTTGGCCCAGAGCTTGTAAATACTCAACACACAGTAAGCTGAAAAAACAAACGCATTCTAATAAATGCAGCCTTGATTGTCCCAAATACCCTGTAGACACCCTTCACAGATAGAATTTACTTAATCTACTTAAGTAAATTAAAGTGACATCCTATTGAGCGGGAGGAAACATTCACATACAACCAGCATAGTATTAATAAAGTCACAACAATAAATTCAAAATTAAAGACTTAGATATAATTTGCAACAGCCAAATATATGAAAGAAAATGATGGCAATGTTTCATGACATGTACAATAAAGATATTTTTGGAGAGTCTGTGTCTGGGCATCCCCCAATTCAGCCAATGAAATCTTAAACTGAGTTACTGATTACTGACCGGGATAAATCATATTGATATGGGTGAGTCTAGCATCCAAGTCTGAGTACCCTTTTCAAAATTACCCATTATCTCAATGGAATAAACCTGCTTTAAATTCACATTAATCCAGGCCCAGAATTTATAAGCTTTGAAAGCCAAAATGAGTACCAGATTTTCCATTCATACTATACCAATACATTCTATACTATAAGCCTACAGGCAAAGTCAGTTAACTTCAGCTTTGTCAAGTCTGTTACTTAAGCTATCATCATTATCATCATGTACACAATCTTCATTACAATTAGTTGTTAGGACCTTGTGCTGGTGGAGGTAACAGGATCCTAGTTCAAATTCCAGTTGTACTGAAGACTCGGACTTAGTATATATATTGTCCCATTACACCCAAGTTTCTGCAGGTTTAAAATATAATTAGAATTTTACCTAAAAAACCACTCACAATAACTATTCTGAGAGCTTTCTTTATATTATCTCATCCTTGTAACTGGTTCAGTCACAGGGTGACTGAACCTGTGGTGGCCAGTGGTGGCAAGAGAATGGGAAGCTAAGTCCCTGGAGGAGGCTATGACCAGGGCAGCATCTCCTTGGAGATTCTGAGTCAGTACAGGAAAGGTGGAGCCTAGAAATCCGATTTTTAAGAAGTACATCAGGAGTATTGTATCCTGATAAATTTGAGAAATGCTATGTTGGAAAGACTATAAAAATAATTAATCAATAAAACCCAAATAACCTTACCAGTTAAGGGGACGACTCACTGGCTATTCGAACCGGTTGCTGGGCCTGCTCTTTCTGGCTGGGTCCCCTGTGAAATACTCCCTGACCAATGGCCCGGCGCCTCAGGTACCTCCCCTGACCACCCATGTGATCACAACTGGATGTGAGCCAAAGCAATCTGGACTGGAGTCCTGATTCTGTCACTTGCCTTTGGTCGTGTCACTGGGTGAGTCACTTCTCATCTGTAAGAGCTGGCACACAGAGTTGGTAAGGTTAGCCAACTGAGGAGTAGCCAAGGCTTTTATGATATTGTGATTTATAAGAAATACACATTCTGTCATTTAGAAGACCAAATATATATTTCTCATTTATATTTGGTCTTCATTCACAGTGCCTGACTCACAGCTCTCCAACCCTAGGAAATCTCCTAAGTGATGAGAGTGGGAGAGGTGCCTCATGTAATGTTAATGAAGGCAAGTTTTGAAAAAGCAGGGAGGTTGGGGGCTGTCTGCCAGGAGGACTAACCTCATGAGAGGCTTGGAATTTTCAGGCCCACCCCACCAGCTATCTGACCCCCCTGGGTGGGGATAGGGGCTGGAGGTTAAGTGCAACCACCAGTGGCTTTTTACTTAATCAATTCTGCCTAAGTAATGAAGCTCCCATAAAACGCCAAGAGGACAGGTTGGTGGACACATGCAGTTTTGGGGGAGAAGGTGCACCTGGAGAGGGCAAGGCTGCTCTTCACCCTTTCCCCATGCCGCCTCCTGCATGTCTCTTCCATCTGGGATTTGCTGAGCGTTCTGTGCAGTTCTAGCAAATTAATCAGGTCTGAAGGGGTGCCCCAGGAAGCGGTGATTTACCCCAGTCAGTCAGAAGCACAGGGCTTGAGCTGAGGCTGAAGTGGAGGGCAGTTCCGGGCCTGAGCCCCTTCCTGTGGAATCTGATGCTCACTCTGGGTAGTGTCAGAATTGAGTTGACTTCTCAGATGGCCTTGCTGGGGTCCCAGAATTGCTGGTTGGTGTGGAGAAGCCTTCACAGCCCCCCCACACAGAGTGCAGGAATTCCACTCCGCTTTACTAGCTCTTTTAAGCTGTAAAGTGCTAAAGTAAGGTCAGATTATTACAAACAAGCCAGTTCTCACTGGCTGAAGTCCTGCCCACATGTGCAGTGGACCCTAGTGCTGGTGGGATTGTGGGTGGCGCTTGGCTGCCTGAACTTCCAAAAGATGAAGAGAAATATCTAAGAAAAAGAACATTTCTCTGAAATAAACTTTATTTCAAACTTTTAGCTATAGATCAAGAAAATGCTTAACTAACAGAAAATAAAGAATTGCCCAAATTTTCACAGAAAGCAAGTTAGCAGGGAATGTGCTGTATCAGGGACTTAGTACCAAAGACCTTTAACCCTGGCTAACGATTAACAATGATAATTAAGTTATTAATCTGGAAACTTGCTGCTGGTTGAAATGAGTGCCTTTTGAAAGAGTTAAGAAACTGTCCATTGGGCGTCGGCTCTGGTTTATTTAGTTAGGACCAGGCACGTGTGAAATGCCTGTCAAAGGCACTGTCCAGGGGACATCACCCGGCAGACACTGGGCTGTCCCTGCATTATCCCATTGCCAGATCCTCATTTCGGCCCTCTGAAAAACTGTCCCCTAGTTTGTAGAGTTACTCACAGCCTGAATGCACTCTGCAGTTGTCATGACTTTGTACCGTCCTTCTGACCCCTGGGAGGCCAGAGGTGATGTGTCTGCCAAAGTCAATCTGATGGGATGGGACACGTACAGGGTGGTACAGCCGCAGGCTGCCAAGGCCAATCACAGCAACTCAAGGAGCCTAAACAGCACATTGATCAATGCTTTTGGCACTGGGCTGGTCATGCACACACAGCACTCCTTTCCTGTGTGTGTGACCATGCTGGAGATCAAATGATAGATCAGAAAGCTGAATCCAGTGCCAAGAATTAGTATTCTCTCAAAAGACACTACGTACTCTCCTCAATGCAGAGTGAGTTCTGTATGGAGATTCTCTCTAGAATGAGAAAGACTTGGGGTAGTCCTTCAGCCTGTCTCCCTGTCACCACCTCCCTGCCTCCCCTTCCTCCCAACCTAGTATGCAGAGTCCATTCTTTCATTAACTTTCAACACCCAGGTGGCAAGACAATCCTTGGTCATCCCCCAGCGCTCTTCAAGTTTAGATTTGGCTTCTTTATCAGTATCTTAGGATGGGTGAAGTTTTTACCCATTTAAAAAAAAAATTCTATGGGTTTCCACTTGAGCTGTGCCATCTGCCTATAAAAACAATAAAGTACTACCAAACAGTAGTATTTTGGAGGCCTACAGTAGAATATTTTACCACTCACCTTAAAGAAACAATTCACCTATTACATGTCTAGTCTATAAAAATATTTTACAAATTAGCAAGTAGTTAGGTAAAAACTTAGTAACTTTGTATAATGAAGTGTATTTATGATACACAGTCTAACTTAATTTTGCACTTTCAAGGCTTTGGTCTTTAACCTCAGTGAAAGTTTCCAACTGTGATAATATGCTGACTGCATCTAACTACTTCTTGCACAGGAGGATGCAGATACCACATTTCATTCTAAGGCATCAGAGAAAGAAGTTGGATGGTGGGTCTGCTGGTCATGTACTTTGCTTATCCTCTCAGCCATCTTTGCAGGAAGTGGAAAAGGGGAAGGGACAGTCCCGCTCAGTGGACACCTTTCTGTACGCATTCACATGGGATTTCATGTGTTTTCTACAGAGCAGTGAGAGCATCCAAAATATTTTACTGTCCTTGAATTAACCTCACTCCTTGCTCTACGTGCAAGTACAACTGTAACCACAGAATACCATCCCTTTCCTGAAAGCCCATAAGGCCTAAAAGCTTGCATATGCAATCTAACCCTGAATGCACACTTAGAGCAATAACAGGTGATAGCTAAATGGAACTAGAAGCTCCTCTCCAAACACCAGCATTTTTGCAAGTGAGACACCTATAGTCTCGAGGGAGAAAGGACCTGCGTGAGGGCCCCAAACTTCTTGGCTTTCACTCATCCTTTCAAAGACTTCCCCTTCATTTTATATATCATGCATGTCAAGTCTAAGATCACCAACACAGGTGCTGCAGACCCCCCCTTACACCCTTTTTTCCCTTATTCCATGCCTGGGACATGGAAGCAGCTCAGTAACTAGGGGTGGACAGAAGAAGGGAAAATCTAGCAAGACCTAAGCGAAAATGTACAAGGCAAGGTAGAAGAGAGAGCCCAATGGTGAGAAAGGTGCACACAATTAGTGGTGCAGGTTATTAATATCAGTGCTGGAGGTTTTAGTAAGCAGTTGCAAGGAATGGTGATTTTTCATTCAGGCATTCAACAAACGTTCATTGAAGGTCTACCTGGTGGAAACAACCGATGGTTTCAGGAGACAGACAGGCGATCACAAGGTGAGAATAAAACAGGAAAGTAAACTCAGTGAATTTCAGTTCCTGACAAATGCTAGTAAAGAAATAAATCTAACAAGGATGTGTGCATGAGGATGGTACCATGTACCCAAGGGAAAACATCTGTGAGGAAGTAACACTTAAGCTGGCACTTTGCTAGCTTTGCTCTCTAGATAATGAGCTGTGTGACCTTAGGTAGGTTACTCAACCTCTCTGAGCCCCAACTTTCTCACCTGGATGAGGAAGGCAACACCCAGTACCTCCCAGGGTTGCAAGAATGTAAAAGGACCTAAATCATCTGCATATACTTAGTAGAAACATTGGTTACTGTCATTCTGAGGTGAGAGACCCCTGACACGCAAAAAATATCCGGAGAGCACAGAAATGAAAGATCCACGCGGGACTTCTAACTACTCCTTTTATTACCTGCATACTATGCATACCCCCATTCTCCAGGGCCTGGGCCAGGTGGTCTGCTCTCCCACTCCCGAGCCCTTCTCTCCACCAGGAGAAGTCAAGAGCCAGGCGTGCAGGGCGTGGGGGTCGGTGCCGCGGGTCCCCCGGCAATCGCTCGCGTCCTCCCGCGCGGAGGCCTGGCCCCGCGGCAGCCATCTTGGGCGTCTTCCCCCAGCGAGTTTCGTCACGCGGCCGCGGGGGGCTGCCTGGCAGGGCTCGCGGGGGGCAGGATGGGTGAGCCCCTCCCGTCCCGGCAAGACCCACTCCACCCTGCGCCGGGCAGAGGCGGAGCTCAGGGGGAAGTCAGCCCGCTGCAGGTGGGGAGCAGTCGGGTAGCGGGATGACAGGGGTCCCCAAAGTGCGGGGACCTCTAACCCCGGGGTGTCCCCGGCATGGCAAGGGGGCTCTGACCTCGGGCCCGGGGGTCTCCCTCCAGCCACCACGTGCGCGCGGCCCCTCCCCGAGCACGCGCCCGTCCGCCAGGCTCCCTGCGCTCTGCCCACGCACCTGGGCCGGGCTCGCCACCCGCGACTCACCGCTCTCCCCGGGCCGCCGCCCGCGCCGCCCGCACACCCGCTCAGCGCCGCCTCCGCTGCCACCGGAAGCGCTTCTCCAGCCACCGCAACCCCGCGCGCCGCCGCCCGGAGCGCGCCCTCGGAGCGCGCGCCCGTGGGCAGCCACGAGGCCGGGAGGTTCCCGTTCGCGGGCGCGCGCAGGAGGCCGGGGAGCCACCCTCCGACCGGCTGCCGGGGCCGCTCTGGCCGCCTGTCCCGGCGGGAGCCCCTGCACCCTCGCTTGGGCTACTGCATCCTTGCCGGACTCCCTGTCTCCATGAGCCCCAGGATCTTCCTCACGGTGGTGTGGGGCTCTGCTCAGGCTAATGTCATTGTTTTCCATTTCGGTTTCCCCCTAATTATTTATTGTATAGAATCAGCATCCAGCCATGTGTTCACCCACTCGCTCACTCACTCATTCACTCACTCTCACTCGCTCATTTAAACCAGTTCCCCAAAATGTAGGCTATGGCACTCTTCGTGCTACAAGGCGATTTTAAGTGATTCAAGTGTCACAACCCGCTTTGTGTGTTAGAAAGAGCCGCTCTGGCTATTGGGTAGGAAACAGGTTGTAGGGAAAGTGACAGGAGGCCAGTCCGGACACTGCGTGGTTAACCAGGGGGCGCGAGGATGGCGGTGGTTAGGACCAGGTGGGTAACAGGGAAGGTGGTGAGGATGATAGCATTCTTAATAAATGATGAATTAGATCACTTTAAATAGGAAACTTCCGTTTTTAAAATTGTAAATTATCCCCAAATTAACCTATAAATATACTGTCATTCTAAACAAAATGACAACTCTAGTGTGCATAACAGTCTGTGTAGATCTTGACAAGGTGACTGCAAAGTGTATGTGAAAAAAAATGAACCACAACTAGCCAAGCAAT